TAAACCGGTCTATGGCTCCAAATGTTGCAGAAACAATTCTGCGTTACGTTTTCTGATCTCGAAGGCTCGGTCGATTTCCGCAATATCCTTAAGTAAAGATGGTTGCATGTCCTTCGGCTAAGCTGTATAATTATTTATCATTAAAAGTAAATATACAATAAAGTGTTATGAAAATACTTTTAAGTACCGTTTAAATTACAACAGTTTTTCTATCTTTGCATTCCCCTAGTATAATGATAACTGTATCAATCGATGGTCAAAGACACAAATGGAAAGTATTGCAACCATGAAAATTTTCTACATAAATATACGTTATGAGATTTTCTAACTCTTAACAATCATGACTGCTAAAATCGTAGAGAATGTGAACAGACTAGCTCTAAAACTAAATGTACAAAACTTTTTTTTTTTTTTCTTTATGACATTTACAACTGTATTACATAAATACATCAAGTAAATTTGGACATAATTGATATAATGACATGAATACACTTGCTGAGTAACTACCCAATGGTAGCACTCTAATGATATGACTACATTAGGAGATCACGGGGTCATCTTCTTTTCAGACGCCTCGGAGGGTTATCAGGAATTGAAGAGGAACCAAGGTTAGAAACGAAATTGCAAAACGTAAAAATTGCAAAATACTATATAGGAATTAAATCAACCGGCAGACGTGAGCAAATGCTACTCTTAGTAATTTTTTTTTTAACTTTTATTATGATATTTACAACTGTATTAGTATGAATACATCAAGTAAATGTGTACAGAGAGATATTATCACATGAAACACGCTTGTTGAGAAACTACCCACTGGTAGCACTCTGATAATTTGTCTACATGAGAAGATCACGTGGCCATCTTCTTTTCAGACGCCTCGGAGGGTTATCAGGAATCGAAGAGGAAGCAATGTTAGAACAAGAGGATTCGGATGGTTATGAAGTTTATTATGGAAGGATAGGTATCTGGATTTGGCCAAATCGGAAACATAAGAAACATTAAGATCTTTATGGATAATTTTATTAGTGACAAAGTAAGGAGCATTGAGGATTTTACGAAGGATTTTGGATTGTAAGGATTGGATGCGAGAGGAATTCGATGGTTTAGTGGAGCCCCATAGCTCAACTCCGTAAGTCCAAATAGGTCTTATTATAGTCAAGTATATGAGTCTTTTATAATTGATTGGGAGGTTAGAGCGTTAGTCTAGTAAGTGCTGAAGTAATCGGAAACGTCGAGCGGTTTCTTGCCGTTTCAGTCTAATATGAGGATTCCAAGTTATTCGTTTGTCCAGGTGGAGTCCTAGGTATCGGATTTGCTCAACAGGGATAAGTGGAGTATTGTTAAAGGAAACTGTAGGACAGGAAGTCGTTGGTTTACGACGAAGGGTAAAGGTAATTTGGTGGGATTTATTGGAGAATGTACAAAACTAAAATTGAGTTTTTAAGATATGTACATATTTGTAATGTTGTACAATTTTATTTTTCATGAAAAACACCATACCAAAAATGACACCGTATATAACCGATTCAGAATATACATCAATAATATTCCACTTGTTCCTGTTGAACTAATTCGCTACATACGAATGCAACTGGACAAACTTCGTACATGAAATCCGCATACAAGAAACTGTGCGACGTTTCCGGCTGCTCTAACACTTACTCTACACTTTCAATTAATTATAAAAGATTCATTTATATGAATATAATAAGACCTATATGGACATATGGAGATGAGCTTTGGGGCTCCACCAAACCATTGAATTCCTATCATATCCAATCCTTACAATCGTAAATACTTTGTAAAATCCTCAATGCCCCATAATAAAAATAAGCTTTAAGATATCAATTATTGAAAAAAAGCCTCTCCCTAAGGAGGAATTTTAACGGAGTTGGCTACAACACAGAAACATATGTTTAAATTATTACAATTTTTTATTTATTTATAATATAACCATATAAGGCATAAGGAAAACAAAGCCATATAGCAAAATGAATAGCCTTGGAAGCACTCGGTTAATAAAAAGACAAACAGAATATAATAAAACAAAACAACTTCTTTCCATCTGTACCTATCCCTAGCCACAAGCCACCAGTTATCACCTACATTTTGTATAATTTCATCATTTCACCTCAATATAAAATTTTAGGAAAATACTTGTATTAAATACTCTTTTGTATGACTAAACACTTGTTAAGGCTAATATATGTGCTCAATAAACATATTTAAAAAAAAATGGAATTGAAAATGCATTTTTTCGCATTTCGGAAAGTTTGTAAAAGATTACAAGGACATAAAGTACTCATATATAGGTAAGTTAGCTTCTAATTTCGTTGAAAAATATTTTAATCGTTTTTCTGATCTAGCAATACTTGTTATAAACAAAAATGCTATTTTAACAACTGTATCCAACAATTTATACTCCAAAGACATTGAACGTGGCTACAATTCAAATTACAGCCCTATTTATCGACGTATTTGTGGTTAAAATTGCTCAGAAACCGAAAATCATTTTAAAATTTATGATACCTCTAAGAAAGTTACTGACGGTAAGTCGTTTAACAGTATCGTGTAGCGTCATCAAAAATTGCTCCATGGGAACAATACATACGTTATAAATACGAACGAAGTCTGTAAGTGGTGCGGCCAACTTATCAATAACGGTTTAAAGCACTTGATGCTGGAGTGTTTGTTTCTGGAGATACCTAGAAGGAAATACCTGCATACACGTATGCAGGCTGCTACAGATGATTTATCACTGGAGTGTGTGTTGGATATAAAAACTCTTGACCAGTTGAACAAAATATTTTATAATTTATCATATGTCTATTTTAGGCCAAAGGTCACCAAAAAAACATAGTATTTTATCTCCTGTATGCTTTATTCAACGTTTCGGCTTCAGGAGCCCTAACCCCTCCACCCCACTCCTTATTTAGGTAAATCCAGTCCTGTATGAATGCCCTATCGAGGAAAACAATTTCTTGATACCGTCTGCAAATAGAGGTATATATAAATCGAAAATAATTAATATTCTTTTTTAAAATTAATTATAATAATCTATTTTAATTTATTATTTATATATTACAATTTTTAGAAACGGAAAACGACATTCTTAGAAATAAAAGAATGAATTAAGGACGAATCATATCGCAATGATAAATATTAAAAATTTATGGCGCGGTGCATGGTAGGTGGATGATATAAGTTTATTCAAAATTAAAAAAAAAAATTTAAACTAAATGTATTACTTGTGGATGTTAAATAATATGTGTCTCAGGCTGTATTTGATGAATGGTAAAAAATAAATTAAAATTAGTTTTGCAGGTTCTTGAAAATGGCTCCTGAAGCCGAAACGTTGAATAAAGCATACAGGAGATAAAAAAACTGTGTTTTTTTGGTAACCTTTGGCCTAAAATAGACATATGATAAATTATGAGAAAATGGAACCAAACCCGAAGGATGTGACTAGAAAATATTTTATTTTATTATAAGTGTTGGTGACTCTATCAATAGAAGTACAAACCATCAGCTTTAGGTCAGTCAGGCATACGTTCATATGTCCGTGAGCGTAGGTGTATTTATTCACAATTTGTGAATAAATAATAATAAGTATTATTATTATTATTAATTGTACGATTCTATATGTGCGTTGTAATCCTAAGATATCTACTGTTTCTTTTGCTTTCATGTGTTCTGCATAGTACACTTTCTTTAGTATACATGTATTTTTATTCATTTATTTTATTTTTATTCATTTATTTTACTCTACTTATTCAATTATCAATTGAAAACAATAGAGATAAAGAGAGAGAAGTGAGAGTAAGGAAAACTAAATGTTAAAAAAAAAAAAAAAAAAACATGAACAATGAAAGGAAGGAAAAAAAAAAATAATAAAATGTATATATATATATATATATATATATATATATATATATATATTACTAATATTAACTAATACTTCTGTATATTTATATATATATAAGTTCATATATTGTCCTAAGTATAGAAGAGTATGCTGTGTATATAGCGACCCAATATAATTGGGCAGCAATCCTTTATATTTTATATTTATTAAAATAAAGTGTTTCTCTCTCTATTAATTATTATTAATATAATTTTATTATTATTATTATTAATTGTACAATTCTACATGTCCGTTGTAATCCTAAGGTCTCTACTATTTGTTTTGCTTTCTTGTGTTCTGCATAGTATACTTTCTTTAGTATACATGTATTTTTATTCATTTATGATATTTATTATATAAATATATTTATATATAAATAGTAAAAATATTTGGAATATAAAAATATTTATGATGTTTGTTATATAAAAATATTTTTGTTTTTGTCTTCTTATATTGTACTTATTTACTTGTTTTCTTGTACTTACAAAACTAATATCTATTAACACTAAATGGGCCAGACTCCATGGCTACGATGTATTTTAAGCCAATAAAATGTTTTTATTCTATATATAAGTATATGTACCGCCGAAGTGAGTGCGAGTATAACTCCACCGGCTTTAGCACCGGTGAGGCGGTTGAGAGAGTAGCGCAGGGATTTGGGTTCCCCGCCTGATTTTATATATTGCATATAGGTATGACTGTATTTTTATGTTTTTAATTTACTTATAGTTAGGTTATTTTATTTTTTTTATTGTATATAGTTTTTATTTATTATTATTTAGTTATTATTTTACTTTTGTTAATTTTATTTCTTTTTTGTATATACGGTGTGAATGTGTTCATTTATCAATATAATTATTGTCCTTGTGACAGAATATTATATGTCTAATCAATAAAAAAAATAAATAAATAAGTATATAATTTAAAATAAGAAATATATATAAGGAGTGATGATATGTGCCAAAATATTAAAAAGTATTGGTGTTAATTGCTAGTGGTGCTCTAGAGATTCCTACACGGAGGTTACCACCGCTATCTAGACACCAGCTCATTAATTAAGTTCAGCCCCCCCCCCAACCCCTACCAATACCTGTACCTACCTGCTAACGAGATCTACCTCTCTCACTAGGGACAATTCCGGAATACCTCCGCAGGGCCTGAACACGAGGAATTCGTATTGGACATGACCATAAAGCCCCGCCTTAATAAGTGATTATCGCTGAATAATGTTCGTTACCGACTTGCGCTAATAGCGTTTCGTGTTGATCCTTAGGTTCAGATCGTATATCCAGTAGCCAAAAGCTTTCATTTATTTTGACGAGAAAGAAGTATGTTTACACATTTTTTTTCACAGAATAGGTTTAAAAGACAAGAATTTAACCGATGATATGGCCAACTAAATAGATTACTGACGATGCTATCTCGATAAAATAAAAATCTACATGACAATTATATATGAGAGCTCGATAGATTTTCTAAATTCAAACGCATCCATTTATAGTCGTTCGAACGCTTTATAGTAAGTTGCTCAAAAAATATATTTAAAAACTAATAAAATAAACATGAACCAAGAAAAGAGACATAACATAAGGTAATTTTGGTTATAAATGGGAAAATCCGAACTACTAGTATTTTAACCGATGGCATAGGCATGATTCGGTGGATTTCAAATACTTTTTTTTTTCAAACTTATAAAAAAAATTAAATTTACATTTAGCAGAAAATTCTCATTTAATTTTATTGAAAACATATACTTTACGTTATATAATATAAGTTTTCTGAAATTATTATTTATATTTTTTTTTTCACTCTCCGTTACCTTCTACAACTTTATTTATTTGATATTACTTTTTCTAAAATTCTCTGCTTTCCAACAATATATTATAAGTTTACCTTCAGACTGTTATATCCGGAGATTCATTTTCAAGCTGGATAAGCATTTTTCCTTTTTTCTCCAGTTTCCAATTATCAAATTCTTTCATCCTTCATATCTAGACATTTTTATAGTTAATGTCAGTAAAGGAGATTTTTTAAATAAATCATATTAAAGGCTCCTTAGAGGTATTAAAGACCACTTAATCATACAGTGATACACCGACTTTAATCAAAATCACACACACACACACACAGACCATTTTGCGGGACTTCGTTATTTGGACTCAGGAGACCTCAAAACCTGTTATTCCGTTTAAAACTTAGATTCTAAAATTTTCACGATCGCAATACTTACCCTTACTCTGTATTTCATATATAGATAAGTGAAAATAAAAATATATTTATAATTTATTATTTAACTATCAAACCGAAATCAAGCAAATCGGAGACATAGAAATTTGATATGAAATGAAACCTTATACCGAAAATAACTAACTTTATCAACTCCATTTTGCTTTCATTCGATTTAGAATAAGAAATGATTTAGAGAGCGCCACGCGACGGCAGTTGTTTTTAACTGTGGACTAGGAATGGGCAAAATCGTTCTTTTTACGGACTTTCTTTAGTTCAGTCCATCTTATTGAACCAGTTCTTTAGTTCACTTCGATTTTAGCGCTACATAAAGTAACACATATAGTCATAAATCTAGTACCATCTACTGTAATACAGATGGTACTAAATATGTACTACAAATTTAATATATATTTTTAGTAATAACAATCTTTATATTTGACTTCTGGTTGTTTTTATGTAATAAAATCTACTCACATAAAATTTACAACTTATTAAATTTTTTTGGTGGGTATTTAAAATTTTAAAAACTAAAAGAAACTAAACATTTCTGTCATCATCCTATGATATATTATTAAATTATCATATAAAAGTAGACTGACCACGACTTATGAAATGAAAAACACAATAACAACAACAATGCAATGATAACAACAGAATGATATGAAGCTCAAACCATTCTAAATTAAATTAAAACCAGAAACCTATTGAACTAGAAAAAAAGATAGAGATTTTAATCTCATGAACTAGCTAGTTCATCAAACTAGAGAACTTAATTAGTTCCATTAGCTGTTGGGGTTCCTAAGTATACTGTGAACTAGCTAGTTAAAATGAACTACAACTGGCACCATCTATTGTGACACGAACGGTGCTAGATCAGTGAAATCACTTCTACAATTTAAATATATATTAAGGAAAAATTCGATGATCAACAATTATTTTATTTAAGGAAATCATATCCTTTTTTCTAATCCCTATTTCAGGACAAAGGCCATAGGCCTTGGCCTTCTCGTAACGTTTCCTAAAGGAATCACCTATAATTCCTCTAATTTTATATTTTTTTTTGGTAGTTCACAGGAACTATAATTTACGGGAACTATAGTTCACCAAAAGTAAGTCTTCACAGTTTCTTTTCGTGAATTAGTTCTTTCACGAACTAACCATCACTACCATAGGCAGAGTGAAAAGCACATTGCCTACTTATAAATCGAGACGTATTCCAACTATTTGCGAAGAAGTCACACTGCACTGAAACCCCGAGCTTTGCGGAATACCAGGAAATAAACGAGCTGACAAACTTGCAAAGGAAGCTCCGAACTATCTCAATTCACCTCAAGGAAGTTCCAACTATAAATAAGCTCCAATTCAGCAGAGCTTGAACAATCAGCATCCAGACTTCAAGCATAGGTATCTCTTTATTACATATTTTCCATTAAGAATACGTTTTCATTTTCCACCCCGTGAACAAGAAATAATTTACTTAATTTACATCAATACAAAAATTCAAAATCGGCTCAATCCTTTTCGTAAATGAAGATATGAAGAACTAACTGCTGAACCAATGTTGTAAAAGGAAGGTTACAAAAATATACAGGGTTAAGTGGCCAAACTGCAAAAATAAAATAAGGACCTCAAAACAAGAAAAAATAATTCCTCTGAAGAGATATCCGCAAACACTTGTATTTAGTATTGCCCAAAATCGGTCTTGGTCTAGCGCTTTGCAAACCAAGACCTAAGCCGCCTAACTATTGCAAGACCAAGACCAGGACTCGTAAAAAAAATCGATTTTTTAAATAAATATTACGACAAAATATTTACTAATACTTGACAATCTTAGTAGCAATATGTTAATAACTGATATAACCAATAAACTTTTGCATTTAACTCCTCTAATTTTTCATTCGGGCTTAGTTAGGTTTCCTCTATCTAAAAAATTACAGTGCTTTCTCTATAGTAATAAGTTAAAAACTAACTGCAAGACTATTGCGAGACTCTTGGGCAAGACCAAGACCATGACGAAAACTGAATTTGCAAGACCAAGACTTCAATCTCGCATTTGGGCAACACTACATGTATTTTTCAAAGATTTTCATTTTTATGAGTTATTTACAGTATATGAAATAAACAAAACCCATTTTTTTCTGTTCTTCCCTACCTCACCTCTTAGGCTAAATGGGATTTTTCCGGGGTGGAGGGTGAGAACGAGAATTTTAAAATTCCCTCTGGCACCGGGACGCGAACTCGTACTTTTTTTTAATCTTAAAACTTAGTTATCTGGGCAACACGTCAGCCCATTCGGCCACCCCGCCCCCAAACAAAACCTATTTATTTATTCTAACAATATTGTCTGTTGTCCTGCACATTAAAAAAGTAGTCGACATTGGCTAAATTATAATTAATTATCCCAATCAGTGGCTTGGCCTGTACGCTCTCCGAACCTGACACCTCTATATATATTTTTTTTTCTTTTGTTTGGGGTGAGATTAAACAGAAAGTCTATTATAGGTACTTTAAAGGAAGACATATATGAATATTGGGCATTCCCTGTAAAGTGACATCAATAGCGATCAGACCTAAATTATATTAAAAACCTCATAATTATACAATGCTACGTCGAGTTTAATCAAAATCGTTAGAGCCGTTTTTGAAAAAATTAAATAAGTAAAAATAAGTGGCACTTACGGTTACTTATTTTTACGAATAAGTTGCTGTAACATACGAGGTATATAAAAGCCTTAAATATGAAATATCACGACTTTTCGTTTTTGAGCTAGACTGTTCACATACCTCCCACACCCACGCACAGAGACCATTTTGTGGGACTTCGTTATTTGAACTCAGGAGACGTCAAAACATGTATTTCCGTTGAAAATGTTCAAAAGCGCAATTCTTTCCCTTGCTGTATATTTCATATATAGTTACGTGAAAGTCATATAAAATGACTAATCCCAAAGGAGAGTTGCAATTTGGTTTTTCAGGCCTTTCAACATTGGGAATATGAGCCTTCGGAACTTCAAAGGTGTTTTGTATTCCGAACTAGTTACTGATGATCATTATACTAATCCAATATTTGTCTCTCATTATCAGCGAGATTTGTCTTTTGAATTTGTTGAGTGTGCCAAAAAAGTATTCTTTTATTTAAACTGTAGCCCCGAAAGATGATAAAACGATAATTTTTTACTTTAAGCTATGTAAAGTTTGATATATTATTATTTTTATTTTTTTATTTGTTTTCCACCCTCCCATGCCACCAGGGCAACACGGGTGTATGCAGTAGTGTGATGTTAAGCACTAATGCATAATAACACACTACTGCCATAATATCAGTTTACAAAGTTCTAAGCTGTGCACACAGCTAGCTCTTCTACTTTTTCCTGGCTCCTTTAGGCCTGGCTTCCCGAATCCGGAGGTCTTCCTGGGACTGGTCCTCTTCTCCTGCGTGCACCTAGGTTAAAGTGAGCTGGGCCCACCGCCGTCTTCCAGCCATTTATAAACTCTTTGAACCGCGGGAAGTTTTCTTCACTCACCAACTGAGGAAACTCCTCCTCAGTGAGGACGTAAATCCCCGTGGTTCTCATTAACCTCGCTCTTAATTCGTCGAAAGCAGTGCAGGCCGTGACCACATGCTCAACAGTCTCCGGAACACCACAATCGGGGCAGTGGGGATCTATATCCTGTCCGTAGCCATGGAGTTTAGCTCTGAAACCCCCATGTCCCGTGAGAAATTGTGAAACCCAATAGTCCGGGAGGACCCATTTCGCCTGTAACCGAGATTCAACGGTGGGAAAGTATTTTCTTAAGGTACTGCCTTTCGGAGTCGTCACCCACCGTCTGCTCCAATCTTCAATTGTTTCCTCCCGGATAATCTTTTTCCATTTATTTGGGTTTTCAATAATCCTCATCCGTAGGTTCTCCGATAGACTAGTTGAGCCCTCCTTCTTGTAGTCATACCTGGTCACTTCTTCTCGCAGGAGGAGGTCGAGAGGCACCACCCCCGCTAAGACCTGCACTGCTTCATGCGACGTAGACCTATATGCTCTGGTGACCCGAAGCAGAGCAGTTCTCTGAGTCGATGCTAGCCTATTTCTTTGTCTGAGTGTGAGGTTTCGGAACCAGAAGGGAGACGCATACCTAAGGATACCCTCCACAACACCCTTATAAATAGTGATAGTGGCTGGATACCTAAGGCCCCAAAATGCGCCCCCCACACGACTTAGACCGTTCATTGCTAGGGCCACCCTACCTGCCAGATATTCCAAATGAGGCGTCATATTGAGGCCTACACCTAACCTAACCCCTAGGTAGGTTACCACCTCACTTGGACGTATCCTCTGACCTTCTATGTACATCGTTATAGGGTGTGCCCTATCAGTCTTTCCCTTAAGGAGGATGGCTTGAGTCTTAGCAGCAGCCATCCTCATCTTCTTCCCCTCACACCATCTAGCGACTAGGCTGGCGCATCGCTCTGCTTCTCTCTTGACTCCAGCTCTGCTGTTGGAGGCCACCACAGCAGCTAGGTCGTCAACGTAAGCAGTGGCAGGAAACCGCTCCTCCTCTAACACTCCCAGTAACTCATCAAAGACGAGCTTCCATAGAGCAGGACCAAGCACCGATCCCTGAGGGCAACCTCTCTCTATGGAAGCTTCTACCTCGTAGTAATTGCCTCTAATCTTGACACTTCTATCCTGGAGATAACTTCTTACTAATGTGTATAAGTTACTAGGAGCATCATACCTCTGCAGCTGCTGGAGCACGCTAGGCCACCATACGCTGTCAAAGGCGGAGGATATATCGAAAAGAAGCAACATGACATACCGCTCCGCCCTCTCCTCAACATCTCTGCGCACTCTCAGCAGGGCATCAGCGGTTCCTCTGCCTCTGGTTGATCCATATTGCCGTGGATGACTTGCTCTAGCGAAAACAGGCCGTAAACTAGTCATCATGAGGTTCTCCAGGACCTTGCTAATCACAGGGAGGAGACATATAGGTCTATATGAATTAGGGAGTTGTTTGTCCCTATCTCCTCCCTTGTAGAGTAGTCTCAAATCAGCGATCTTCCATCTTCTTGGAAAGTATCCCATATCCAGACATTCATTGAAAATACTCAACAGCCGGTCTTCAATATACGTGATACTGTTCCTCAAGATCGCTGCATCTATTGCATCAAGTCCTGGAGCACGATTAGTCTTCTGCTTATCCACGGCAATACGAAGATCGTGAATGTCCCATGGTGGGCACAAATCTGAACCAGGTGGATATACCGTGGTGCGTCTCACAAAATCATCATTTTCGCTGTCCTGGGTTGGGTCATCTCTGGGATATATTGCTTCAATGAAAACATTGGCAGTTTCTTCAAGGGTGGTTGCCTCAGTATTATGATAACGCAAGGCTGCAATAGTCTGCATCGGGGACAACTTACCCAATGCTACCCTATACGGAATACCCCAGGGATTCTTCGAAGACTCTTCAATGATGAAATCATCCCAAGACTTCCGCTTTTGTGAGCGAACCTCGTTTCGGTATATCCTGGCTTTTGACTTGTACTCATTGCGAAGTACAGTGCGCCTCTCTTCGCATCTGCACCTCTGATATGACCGCCGGGCCTTGTAGAGGTCTCGTTTTAGAACAGTTAAGGCTGGCGTCCACCATGGGACAGGTCGAACCCTCGCCTTCCGGTGCTTGAGGGAGTGTTCGGCAGCATCACGAATGTTGTTGGTAATCCTGGACACCTTGTAGTCCAGATTGTCAACTACATCCATCTCTGCCGCTTCCCACTCCTCGTCTGCAATCACTCCTTCCAGGTAGGACCTGAAGACACTCCAGTCATTTATTTTAGTGACGAAACCCTTATCAGTACCGTGGGAACATCCTGGCTCATTTACCAGGCCAATTGCTATCGCAACGTGATCGGAACTCGTATCAGATCTGAGAGTCCAATCAGCAATATACCTCGTAAGCGCAGGCGTGGCGATCGTGACGTCAATCCAACTCTGCCCCATGCCTCCAGAGAAGGTAGGGGTGGCAGAGGGTTCGTTCATCACGACAAGGTGATTTCTGCCTATGAAATTTCCCATTTTAGCGCCTCGCCTGTCAGTAATATTGGACCCCCAGACCGTGTTCCAGGAGTTGGTATCTGAGCACATGATCACATTCCTCATCTCTCTAATGATCGCCTCCATAGCGGATATGCTTTCTTCTACATCACTATTCACAGGTAGGTATGCCGATACCAATGTGAAAGAAATCTTGCCCCACTTAACGTAGCAAGATGCATAATCCGCCATGGTGTGTTGCCTCAGATCCATCACGTCAAGGTTAGGATTATTAATCACTATTGCAGCCCTGGGCCTCCTCTCTCCACTGCTCAGGGCTATAACTCTTGACGTGAGGCCAAACCCCGTAACCCTGTTCCCACGGCAGCTAGGTTCCTGGACCGCCATGATATCGTAGCGTTGTGCCATGGCGCGAAGCTCGTCAGCCACAATATGCCGGCGGCCCATATTCAACTGCAGGATGTTGAGTCTAATCATAGTGAGTTCTCCTCACTAATTCTTGAGATCTCTTGATGTGCACTGGGCATTCTCTACTTCCTGCCTGGTGTTTAGCCTTACTTTTTTGAACACCTTCCCTCACGCAGTTAACGCATGTAGGTGCGGTCTTATTTCCTTTTGCGGGACAGTTTTTAGCAATATGCCCACTCGCCGCACACCACTTGCATACTATGCCATTTGCCTCACAAGTAGCTTTTGTATGTCCATATCCCTGACACCTTAGACAGGGAGGAGCATCGGGGTAATCTAAGATTGTCAGTGACCACCAACCTCCTGTAATTATTTCCTCCTTGAGTAGATTATATCTTACCATTGGATGTACTTCTAACACCCAATTATTGGTAATTTTATTTCTAGCCATTGATGAGAACAATGGCTTTATATTACCTAATTGGTTCTCAGAAATAACGGCCGATTTTGCAGCCAACCTTTCCCATAGCACCCTTTCTAGATTTTCCGCACTCCATGAAAGGGGAACTCCTTTTACCTCCACTTTTGGTTTTCTTTTTAAGGCTAGTTTTGCCTCCATCCCAACTTCTTTTAATTTTTGCCATTCAATTATTTTTTTAGCATGGGCACCCTCATCTACACAAACTAAAACTGAGCCAGCTTTGGTCGCCCGTACAACTCTCGCCTTGACTCCTAGTTCAGTTGGAGAAGGCAGATTGTTGATGATGTCAGCTGCACTTTTACCTTGAGAAGCGATGGTAACATAAGTTGGTCTTGTAGTATCCATCGGTTTTAATGGAAGCCCTTTAACAATATCGGCCATCGTAGTCTGATGTGTAGACCTTTTCTTGGTCAAACTTTCCTCTGATATTGGTTTAGAGGCCTCGATCTCTTTGGCCACTTGTGGAAGAGCCTTTTTCCTTCTTTGCTTTTTCTTTACTTCCTGGAAACTTTCATTCTCCGTGGTCTCAATAATAGCGTGGGCATCGGCTAATAGCGGTTGTTCTTTAACGCATGGAAACTCCCGAGATGTCTGAGGTTCTGACAGTGGTCTTTGTATGGTTTTACTTTCCGACTTGAGTCCCTCGATAACCATAGGTACTGCTTTTTCCACTAATGCATTTACTATGATATCATACATTTCAGAGGAAGCTAATGTGTCCTTTACCACACGTTGTACTAAAAACGTTTTTTCATAGTTCTTATCATATATTGTCTCCATTATATCTATTAACTGCTGCATTTTCCCATTAACGTGCTTTTGTACCTTCGCACTCACGTTCCTGTCTGTTGCGTTCATGTAGACCCTGATGTTTTCTTTGATTCTACGTGCATCTTGCAGAAGACTATCGTCTACACGTTCTTTATCTGCTTCTTCTCGGGCGTCAGGAGATCCTTTCCTTTGCCTCTTTGCTGAAGGCCTTGGGCACTTTATAGCCTGTTCTTCCACCATTTCCTGCTCCATTGCTGATGCAATTTCATCAGCCATCTTACGCAATCCAAAATTAACAACTTTATACGTTGAAATAATGGGTGAACAACAGTAGAAGGAAATATTCAACACTCAAAATCTAACCTACGTTCGGGAAACTTATAAATTTCCTATCTTCAAAAGTAAGACTTTAATATGAACTTACCTTAGTGCTTCACCAACGTAATAGTCTCTAAACGTCCTTTTGGTTAGATTAAACCTTCGTGAAAACCACAAAGTTAACCTTAACCTCCACTGTTCACTCAAAAAGTTTATAAAATTAACTAAATAAACATAAACTAAAACTAAATCATGTTCAAAAAAAACTATAAAACACTAAAATAACACAAACAGTAGGAAACGATACAACAAAACTAACAAAACAAACTTGAAAAACACAAAACACTGAGAAGCACAATAACACTTTATCATAGGTAGATAACCTCTAAAGTTTGATATATGTAGTGCAAGCCAGCGAAAAAAAAGGCATATTTATCAAGAAAATCCAATTTCTTTTAGTCATTGCTCAAAACTTACTACTTTCCCCGTATTGCAGTACCAGGTGGAATGCCCTGAAGAAGATCTACAGCGTAGGTCGAAACGTTGGTAACGCAATAAACAGACTGTTATGTAATATTATATTTTATAAAATGACCGCACCTTCGACTATCTTCTTCTGAAATTATAATCTACGATCAACGAGCTCCACACCGTTGTATATTGCGATTTCTTATGATTTAATTATATTTCTTAATGAGAGTACCAAATTTATAAATTTATGAAGTAGTTTCGTGAATTCAGTGAGGCTATTATTTCTAAATCAAAATTATCTAATTTAATAAAATTATATTTTCCTGACAGTAGACTCGCTAATTGTCAGTACTTTTAACATGATTTAACAAACGAAAAATCTGGTGTGTCCACTCACACGACTTTCCTACCTATTTCAGAAAAGTTTTTATATCTTTACATATGTTCATGAAGAAACTAAAAAAAAAAAAAAAAATTGAATTAGTTTTATTTTCCTGTGAAATTGATCAAAGAAAAGATTTATTATAAAATAAAGCAATGTAAACCGGTTTAATGTAGATCAATGTAAAAATATTAATACTCACTAATATTGCTGATCAAAAACTTTTTGCCATAGCTTAGTGTTGTCAAACAATTTCTGTTAAAAGTAGAGGAAATAGTGAAGATTGGGTGATACGGGCAACAGATTTTCTAACTTTCACTTATTTTTGAATAGTCATATTTTTTCTCTCATTCACACCTTTCCGACTTCAGGATATGAACCCGTAATTTCACATTATAAATTTGATAGCTGTAACCTCGTTAATAATTGTCCCAAATGAACGATTTTTATATAGTTTTGTAGGGAATTCCATTACCTTTCAAAAATAGTCAGACAGACCAATGGATAAAAATGGAGTTTTCGGACTCAGAGTTCTCTGAAACTTATAGTTGTCGAAAACCACATGTCGGAAATTTGACCCGATTGCAATACTATCATTATCCAGTATAGGTAGGAGAGTAATAAATTATCATACATAAAATTATTGTTATTTTTTCATTACTAATGACTTTAATAAAAAACGCATGATTATTTTTCAGGTTATCATAATTCACCTCATTAATTAAAAAAAAAATACTAAAACCCTAAACCCGAAACAATACCCCAACCCGGGTTGTGATTAAGGAATTATGTTGTGCATAACACATAACCCCTCGTTACTCCACATTGAGAGAGACGGTGAGCGATAAAATATTAACTACCCGATTAAGAGCTTCAAGCTCGGATGGTAAACGTTGTAAATTAGCAAGATGAATATGCAGTGAATCATTTACGCCAAAGACAATTATCAGTTAGCAAGGTATTTACTCTATGTATTTAACAGCCTGTATTTGTCATAGACGAAATATGTGTATACCGATTGTTAATTTAATTAAACATGATTATGATTTTTTTTTTAATTTTATGTTGCTACACTTTTTTACTTTCCTACCTATACTATTTCAGGAAAGTATTTCGATTGGATCAAATTTCCGATATGAGGTTTTCGACAGATTAATGTTTCAGAGCCCTCTGAGTCCAAAAAAAAACATTTTTAGCAATTGGTCTGTCTGTCTGTGCCAAGATTTTCTCGAGGACTACTGAAGCGATTTTGTTGCTTCTTTTTTTATTTTGTAGGATTTTGACTACTGCCTGTGACATAAATTGGATAGCTGCTGCTCAATAAATGAAAAACTTTTTTATTCTATAGGTTGTTGCGCGAAAACGGCTCTAACGATTTTGATGAAACTTTATTATAATGTTTTAATAAATGTCCTTTAAATTTTCGTACATGGACTAAATTCGCGAAAAAAAAATCAGCAAAAAAAGTTATAAAGAAAAGAAAAATGTTTTGGAGCCTAATTGGCTAAGTATATATACTATGGTAAAATGTATTATAAATCTTTTGATGGGTGATAAATATTCAGGACGCAGTCTTTTTTAAGATTTTTTTTATTTTTGCCAACGTTTCAACCCAAACATGTGGGTCATCTTCAGGGCGTGGTTTGAGCACCGAGGGTGTTCAAGTACTGACTGTCAGGTCATCACTTGAACACGTTTAGTGCCGTTTAGCCTGTTTTTTATTTTTAAAGGCAATGAAATTACTTACAAAACTATATAAAAATCGTTCATTTTGGACAACTATTAACAAAAGTTGTATGTGGCTAAAGCACTCTTGCTCAATCTCCACTGGGTTTAGCCCTAGTGACGCGGTTGAGGAAGGAGTGCAGGGAACTCCTGGAGTCATACTTTTCCCTCCACAGTTGGAGGGACAAGTCTGGTTTGGAGTTCTCTCGCCAAATTATAAATATTGTATATAGGTGTGTATGTGTTCTTTTTATTTATTTATTTTTAGGTTATTTTATTCTTATTTATAGTATATATATTATTTTTCTGTATAATTTATTTTATTTATTGTATATAGAGTGTGAATGTGATCTGTGAACTCTATTATAAATGTCCTAGAGATAGATTGTAATATTTTTCAATAAATAAGTTTAAAAACATTAACAAAGTTACATCTATTACATTTCTAGCGTAAGATTACGGGTACATATCCTGGTGTCAGAAAGGGATGAATGAGAGAATAAAAGATAACTTAGTGAAAGTAAGAAAATCTGTTGCCTTCAAAACTTTCAATTTTCAACATAAATTATTGTTTGACAAAATTAGGCTATGGCAAAAAGTTTGTGATCAGGAATATTAGAGGATGTTGGAATTTTTATACTGATCTACCTTAAGCCGGTTTGCATTGCTTTAGTTTATCAAATAAATTGTACTCAAATCTTTTCTTTGATCAATTTTCAGGAAAATAAATCTAATTATTTTTTTTTGTTTCTTGATGAACATATTTAAAAATATAAAACCTTTTATGATACAGGTAGGAAAACCGTGTGAGTAGACATACCAGATTTTTTTTTTCAATTTTCGTCAGTATTTGAAAAATATTTTGTCTAAATAAAATTTCGAACTGAAAAAAATATAAAAGTTTTCCTGGTACACCATAATGAGGAATCCATACCCCTTTATATATTTCGAATAGTGATTTCATCAATACCACTAGCTAGAATATGGTACCCTTAAAGTGAAAACAATTACTGTATGGCAATTAGGTGAAATTCCATGTACCATGAAATGGTATATACCGCCATTGCATTATGTATTGGATACCTGACCAATTAGGAAAAAGCTCTCTTATCTCTAACGAGTACCAGGAAAGTAATAGGTTTTCCGGCTAGCTGTGGGTGTGTAAGGCTCTAGGAAAACTCTTTCTAATGACGTCTCCATTGGAGCGGTGAAGGTGTCTTGTAAGGTTTGCGCCATTTTCTCTCTGGTGTAATAATAGCCATTTATACATGGGACATAATGATAGTGTATTAACTGCATTCATGTATTTATTTATTTGTGTGAAAATGTTCTGATGATATTTCCAAAATAGAAATAATTAAATAGTCATTTTTTTTTTCAGTTTTTCTGTTTATTTTAATGTAACTGTAATACACTTTTATCTGACGAATTAATCCCTAAGGTGGATTGTTTATCCTGTTTGTAATATTTTATTAACTATATCTGTTAACTCTTGTTGAAACTAGCTTAGTATTGTGTTTGCTATTGTAGTGTGAATATGGATGAAAATATCATTTATTATTGGTATATTTTGTTTTATTATTTTTTAAAAAAATAAGCGTGCAGCAGAAGCTCATAGAAACATTTGCAGTGTTTATGGGGATGATGCCTTAACCGAACGCACCTGTCAAAATTGTTTTGCCAAATTTCATTCAGGAAATTTTGACATCAATGATGTTCAACGGTTTGGTCGCCAAAACGAAATTAAAACAAGCAATGTTAAGACCGTTGATAAAATTACCACCGAATCAGTGCGAGAAATTTCTATGACCCTAAATGTTTTATTTATTTCATACTAGCTGATGTACCCGTCGTTGACGGATGAATAGATTCAAATTCATAAAATTGGGCCGGAGAGGGGAGGTGGTTAATTTTGATATTTTTTATAGCGGGGTTTATGGAAGTCAAGGTTTCGCAATAGCCATGACGAAATCTTTGTCATTCCGCTATTTGTTTAGGTAGCACGCAACTAAACCGACCTACAGACATTAAAATTTGTTAAGTGTTTAATTTTCATTTATGATGAAGCGAAAAGATTGTGGAGTCGATTAATAAATCAAAAAGAATTGTAGTCCCTTCACTTCTTTAAACTCTGCTGAGATTATCACTGGCAAAATAATCAAAATAACATTGGACATTTACTCACCAACATCCGTATAAAATTAGAAGTTGATTTGAATATTGAAGCGGGCGGGGTGAAATTTTTAGGAGTTTTTTCCTGATTTCCGGCTAATCTGTTTGTTTAATCCTAAAAATGTATACGGCAACATTTGTTAGGCTCGAGAATTTGAATCGATTGACACCTTGAAAGGGAAGATGAGTGTGTTTTACCCGTTGTAGG